ATGCCTTTTTGCGCATAGGGGAAATGACCACCCATTTTCATAGTAATGCTAACCCTCCCCTTCAGTTATATCAGATCACAAAACTGATTTCCCCATCTGGGGACTTGCAGGCTTTTAAACTCACCTTTGGGGATTTTAAGCATAGCTACAATTCACGCCCCTTTTCTGTGGTTCTTTCTCGGCAGCCCAATTCCACCTGTCCAGTTGTATTGCTGTCCAAGTATTTAACTTTACGGGGCATAAGACCTGGGGCCATTTTTGTTTCAGAGGGTGGGTTGCCTGTTTCAAGATCAGTCTTCTCCAGCCAGCTTCTAAGGGCTTGTCACTTGTGCGGTTTAGATCCTTCCCGTTATAAGGGTCATAGTTTCCGAATTGGTGCGGCTTCCTATGCAGCAGATCGGGGGTTTTCTGATGCTCAGATTAGAATGTTAGGGCGCTGGAAGTCCAATGCCTTTCTGCGCTATATCAGGGTTCCCAGTCTAAGTTCCTGAGCCGATAATTGGGCTCATTGTAATTACTTGCAAGGTGGGTCAGTTTGCATGGGCGGCTGGCTCACTTTGTTGTTACTCTTAATCTTTTTTGTTTCCAAGGATTCATCTAGCAAACAGCAACTTATACCATCCTTTATTTCTAGATTTTTAAATTATTGGGGTCATATTTACAGCAGGGTGGGTCAGTTTGCATGGGCGGCTGTCCTACCTTGTTGTGTCACACTCTAATAATCTTGTTTCTCTTTTTACCAATAATCCATTGAGCCAAAAACAAATTTTTACAATCGTTTATTCCTTATAACTAGTTTTCTGACTCAGCTTGCATGGGCGGCTTTGTCAGGAGTGGGTTTCATCCTTGTCATCAACAGTTTACCTTCTGATTCAGTTTGCATGGGCGGCTTTTTCAGGAGTGGTTTCCATTCTTATCATCAACAGTTTAACTCCTGATTCAGTTTGCATGGGCGGCTTTTTCAGGATAAGCTTTCAATTTTGTGTTACGAGTTAAATGATTTGGGTCTTAGTGGCCTGATTACTTAATTTTGTTGTACCATGCTTGCAAGGGCGGCTGGTATACCATCTTAAGAATAGAGGTTTCCTTTTTCTGCAATGATTAGTGTCAATAGCTTGTTGTATAGCGGGGGATGCATTTCTTCCTTGCTTCTGCTCTTGCCTGGGGTGGGGCAGCAATGCACCTTAGGTGTCATTGCTTTTGGCGTTTTTCTCGGCCCGCACCTTTACTGGGCAAACATATTATAACAGAATTCATTTTTGTTCTCTTTGTTTCAATAAAAGCGGCTATGGACCTATTGTCCATAGCCATTTTGCTCCAACTTAAGTGTGTTTAATTTTATTGCCCAGTAAACAGAGCTCAGGCAAGAGCAGCATTTAGGGGTTTTGTTTTGGGCGGAGAGAGGAAGACATAAACAAAATATTTGCTTGCAAATAGAATTTTTATGTCTTCTCTCTTTGACCAGGGTATTTGATAATCAAGGGGGACTGGGTTTGGGTCAGGTGTCAGTGGCCATTATGTTCAACCCCCCTCTAAGGTTTTGACAAGTCACATGAACTCGCAAGCCATGTGCTTGCCATTCGTCTCTACTGCTCGGAGTTAGAAGCTTCTTTTGACTCCCACCTCCTTCCCCTGATCCGTCCACTTTTTCTGTAGTATATAATTAGTGCTGGTGCGTTTTTCTCGGCCCGCACCTTTACTGGGCAAACATATTATAACAGAATTCATTTCTGTTCTCTTTGTTTCAATAAAAGCGGCTATGGACCTATTGTCCATAGCCATTTTGCTCCAACTTAAGTGTGTTTAATTTTATTGCCCAGTAAACAGAGCTCAGGCAAGAGCAGCAATTATGGGTTTTGTTTTGGGCGGAGAGAGGAAGACATAAATTTTGATGAACATAGAGCATATGGAGCATACACAAGAGTGAACGACAGTTTTGTCCTTTTTCGCATTTCGTTCACTGGGACGCAATATAGCCATATAGTAGCCCCAATAATGAAAAAAAACTTCACATATTACTAAACTGTCAAAAGTGGGAAAAAAGGTGGGGCAAGTTTCCTGTGTTTTAGTTGAAGGTAACTACAACAAAACTTCCTGTTTTTAAATTGATATAACGCTAATAAAGAAAAGGACGACTTTGAAAATAACAAAGAGATATTAGGGCATTAAGCATCAACATATTCATCAAAATTAAATGCGCTAAAAAACTAACGAGGAAGAGCTTTTTTGCTAATATTTCAATCGACCGCTTTTAGTCCCAACTAATAAGCAACATGTCATTTTGCAGTAAATTTTAATGAATATGACGTTCTTTTAAAATACAGCATCTGGAGCATACACAAGGGTGAAGGACAGTTTTGTCCTTTTTCACATTTCGCTAGCTCGGATGCAATATAGCCATATAGTGGCCCCAATAAAGAAAAAAAAACTTCAAATACGACTTAACTGTCAAAGGCGGGAAAAATGGTGGGGCAGGCTTCCTGTGTTTCAGTTGAAGTCA